CGGCATTTATTTTCTATCCACACCTAGACCACTTGTGGTTTTTATTTTTTCCCAGCATCGCTGCATTTTTTATTAGGAGCATCTATCCCAACCCATCAAAATATATAAATTCTTTCCTCCTTGGCATTTTTGTCTTTCCAACCCAAGACGTAGTCTTTATTTGTTTTTCCTGCACCTAGTCACATTTTTTTGTTATTCCGAGCACCAAACCCGTCAAAATATATTATTTCTTTCCTCCTCAACATTTTTTATCCAAACCTTGACCACGAGGGTTTTTATTCAGAATGTATAAAATGTAGGAAGTCGGTACATCAAAGGGACAGAATGAGCATTTATAAGAGGGAAGAAAAAAAATCTTATCGAACCAAACACTGTTGACACTTACTCAGCAAAGGCTCAAGAAGAGCTTGTATGCATGTTTTTTGCATCTTTGTTGTGACCCTGTCGTTCTCACACACACTGGAACAGCCAATTAACATAACAGTACTCTGTTAATCACTCATGCAAGGGAATGGGCAGGAACGCATTCCCAAGTGCTCTTCGGGGTGAACGGGAGGGCGTGCAGAACGGAAGGAAACGCGTGCGAACGGTCTCTGTATTTTTGATCCCGTCCCAAATGAGCTCAATATTCACCTAAATCACTTCCTTTCCAAGATATAAGCAAGGTTTCAACCAAGCGCTAACACCAACAGACTTATTTCATTGAAAAAACTTAATAACTAGTTCCAATTTTAAACAATAAGCCCACTTCCGGTTTCAACCGGAAGCAAGGGTCACGTTATTCAACCCACTGAAGATGAATTGAAGGCCCAATTAATACTCTGGCACTTGGGCAAAAAAAGGTTGCGGAAAGCCACGGTTGATTTTTATATGGATTTTAAAATTCTTACGGAATATTTAAAATTTCATGAGAAATCACTTGATGCATAATCATTACATAATTATTTTAGTATCATCTCTGCCCCAAGGTCTTTCCTTGATGTGACTTTGATGACAACCAAAAATAGCTGAGTAACCAAAATGATACCTCAAAAACGTGTACAAAGTAAATCGGCTGAAATAAATATTGAAAAATCAATACTAAATCATGATGACATCATCATGACGACATTTATTTACAATTTTGGTGTATGAGGGTCTTTGTTGGCTTTCACTTTGATAACGATCACACATCGCCAAGGTTTCAAAACAGTGGCTTGAATACATGTACAAATTCAATGGGCCATAAACTCGTCTGCAGAAACACTGCTCCTTTAACTTCATGTTACATGATTTGCGCTTAAACTGAACAATTTTTATGAAATATTACGTCATATTCGGACTCTTAGGATATTTCAAATCAAATAACAGACTGGAAAATACCCTATTTCTCTTTCGTTCTTATACTAATCTTGAGCCAAAGTAAAGGACTACTCGTTCACTAGTGTCAATTACAGAAAACGTGTACAAAACCTATGGGGAAAAATCAAATATTCAAAAATTAATATAAAATAAGGCGATGATGTCATCATGACGTCATAAATTTTGAATCATGGTCTTTGCCGGCTGTAACTTCGATGACGAAAGGAGATCGCCAAGTAACCTAAATTGTGCCTTGAAAACGTGTACAAAGTCAAATGGCTGAAATAAATATTGAAAAATCAATAATAAATCGCTTGATGACATCATCATGACGTCATTGTTCTAGGCACATATTTGAACTAAGGTCCTTCAATGATGTAAGTTTGATGAAGATCCAAAGTTGCAAAAGGAAGAAGAAGGAAGAAAAACTAGAGCTCATTTGTTTATTTGACAACAGAACAGAGGGCTTTTTCGCACTCTTTTGTAGATATGAACAACTAAGTCATCGTCACATCATGTCATTTTTCGTAAAACACCTCTCTTTCAAATTACCTGCAAAGTTTCAAGCCGATAAAAAAATTAGATATAGGGCCTTAAAGAGGGCACCCTTAATGCCACATGACTTGTCTTCTGACATCATTATCACATGAGGTCAAAATTTCTCCAAAGCACTCCCTTTTCAAGATATCTGCAAGATTTGAACCAAATTGGATATACCCTTCAGGAGATAAAGTACTTTAAATGAGGCACCATTTAGTATCACTTGACTCATCTGCTGATATTGTCATCACGTGAAGTCAACTTCCGTTTGTAAACTTTCCCTTGCTAACTACCTGCAAGGTTTCAACCCAATAAGACACAATACAATATACAATACAAAACATTATACTTATTGCGGAAAA